CAGCTCCACCTGATCTCTTTGCGGGGATCCGTTGGGGCAGAACCCCCCGGGAAGAGGGACCAGCATTTATTGTGCAGTGGAAGCTCAAGGTTCAATCCACGGTCATTAACAGCGGCGCTTAATTAAGCAGGTATCAGAGAAGAGGAAGGTCAGCAGCAAGAAGCAGTCTCCAGTTGCAGGGGCTCATCCAGCCCGTGCTGGTCCCTCATGCAGGAGTTAAGAGGGAACGTCTGTAGGGATGAAAGGAAGAGACACGTCACCCAGGGCTACATCCCTGTCCCCAGCCCGCTGCTCTCGGGGGGCGTCCCATCGATGGGGCCACCTCGTACCTGGTGGTGAGCTGACAAGACCCATGTCCTTGCCTGCAAGAGAAAGAGCCGTGAGGGGACACCAGCAGAGCCACCTCCAGACCCACCTCCTTTTCCCTATGTCCCTACTACAGGGGGATGAGGGATTGGGGAACCGGGGCCACGGGACCACCACAGCGCTGGATCTGCCGCCGGTCCTCACCTGAGGCCGTCTTGTAGCCATCGTTCTTGTTCTCTGCAGAGAGAAAGAGACATCAGCATCCACTGTGGGGCCGGTCGGGCTCCCCAGAGCAGCAGCTCCTGCCCTGCCTTCCTCCCGCACCCCTCCACCTCGCTGGACACGGGTCCTTACTCTGTTTGTACTTCCAGATCAGCCCGATGATGATGATGATGACCATGACCACGACCACGACCACGGCCGCCACCACCGGGGTGATGGACTGCCCAGGCTGCGGCTCTGGAAGAAGAATGGGAGGGTGAGGAGGTGGAAGGGGATTGACCCCACCATGGGCTCCACTGGCCCCAAAGGCCCCCCCCCGGCTCACCCCAAGCGTAGATGCCGGGTTGGAGCAGGCTGGCGTGTTCCACCTGGCACCGGAACCTGTCCTTGTCGCTGGGGTTGACCTCAATGGAGGCCGACATGTAGTAGGTGCCGTCGCTGTTGGGCGCGATGCTGCCCCACCACGTGTCCTGGTCCCGGACCTCGCCATCCTTCAGCCAGCTGAGGCTGATGGGCCGTGGGTAGAAGCCATGAGCGCGGCACGTCAGGGTCAGGATCCCGTCCTCCTCCTCCTTTCCTGACACTTGGACCACGGGGGGGGCTGGGAACGGGATGGTGGTGAGGGATCAGCCCACGTGCCCGCACGGCCCCAGTGGCCCCGTCTTGTCCTCACCTCTCCTCTCCAGCACG